GAGCAGTTAGAAGTCAGTGGTCCCAGATTACAGTCGGAGGACATCCCCGGGGTCCTGGATTGGAGAGGGTGCAGACTGGGCTGAAGGACCCCCTCCCATGCACAAATTTCATGCACTAGGCCTCTAGTAGTATAATATATATGTAGATATATATATTTACTACTATAAAACATTTTAAAGATTCAAGTCACCCAATATAAATATTTGGATGCCTATTGAATGTACTGTAAAAAATGAAACAATTGGAGAAATTTGAACACAATTAGAAATATTCAATTCTATTAAAGAATTATTGTATTTTTTAAAATGTGATATTAGTATTTTGGAGGATTTTTTTTAAATTTTGGTAAGAACTTTAACATGAAATTTTTCCTCTTAACAATTTTAAGTGCACAATAAAATAGTGTTAACTGTAGGAACAATGTCCTACAGTAATTCTCCAGAACTTATTCATCTTACCTAAGTTTTTTTTTTAATATATTTTATTGATTCTCTACAGAGAGGAAGGGAGAGGAATAGAGAGTTAGAAACATCAATGAGGGAGAAACATTGATCTGCTGCCTCCTGCACACTCCCCATTGGGTATGTTCCTGCAAACAAGGTATATGTCTTTGACCAGTATCGAACCTGGGACCCCTGAGTCCGCAGGCCAACGCTCTATCCACTGAGCCAAACCGGTTAGGGCTTACCTGTTTTTTTTTAGAGTTCTTATCTCTTAAAATGTATACTAAAATATGTACAGATAAAATAATATATGCTGGATCTGGGATTACCTTACCAACAACATAATAAATTTACCACTTATCATTTTTTGGAGGTTGGCAGAATACTCAAGACTCTTGGGTCAGAGACAAAGGACTTTATTACACATGACACAATAAACATCATGAACATCAGCATATTTCCTTTTGTCCTCAAGTGTCATGGGGGCAACACAGATGACACATGCAGTGGGTTGCCTGCCCATGCAGTGGATTGCTTCACAGCTGAGGAACACTGAGCTTGGGGAAC